AATATTTAAAACCAATATCCTATAAATAAATAAAATAATTAATTTATACAATATCTACATAAACCAATATAAACTTACATAAAATAAAAAAAATTCTCTAATTTAATTGTTTCTTGACTGTCATTTTTAGCCAGACAAATATCAATATTGTTCATTTTCATTATTATTAGGGTAATACAATGTACTTTTATTCTTCTTTTTCTTATAAACAACGAATCAGGTAAAAAATAAATATTCATAAGATTTTTGTAAAGAACGATTTGAGAAATATGATGTTGAGTGATAAGAGTCGATTCCACGACAACGAAATATCGATAAGAATATAAAGAAGGTGGAAAAGTGAGCAAGGAAAGGCAATTAGAGGGAGTAATGGACGGCCATCTTGGCAAAAACGGAGCACAATTTCAATAGAGCCATCAATAACCGTTTTCTTCGCCGGAACTCTGTTCCAGGCAGGAGGTTATTGTCACTGCAAGACCAGCTTCTTTTCTCCCTCAGATAGTGAACCTCCCTCAGTGAACTGGCCGAGGAGGAATGAGTGTAGTGATATTTGATATTCGTCATCTAAATGACTGCAGCTCCATCATTTTTTTAACAAGAATACTACTTATTAAAACTAAATCATCGATTATTTATTCTTCAAATGATTTTTGGCCAAGTTCACCAAAAATTTATTACTTTACTATCATTTTATTGACGATGTTGTAAAACCAAATTATAACGAGTTTTATGGAAGATAGGGATTAAAATATCTCAGAAACTAAATATCGCGCCTGCGTACTATAAGCGAGGGAAATGTTCAGCATCTCATCCTGTTTACAATAAGCTATTCTTGTTCTATCGTATAGTGTAAAGCATACACGTTCGTTTTTTTTTTTTTTCATTTCATTTTCATCTCCCTTTCTTATCTTTCTCTTAAACTGTATACTTAATTTTAGTTTCAGTTTGTCTCTTAATTCCTTTACAAGCGTTAATTATAATAAAAATATTTAGAAGCGTTCATATTTATTATTTCCTTATCACACTTATTTACTTACCTTTTGATAAATGAAATTAATAATCAACTTAGTTTTTGATTACTATTTATTATTTGATGTTTTGAAGAATCTTTTTTTTTTCTCAGCAATCTAAAATAATAAAATTAATTTATTAAAGGTTTTGTCATGAACCAGTCACTATGAATTAAAAAAATACATAACATTTAAAAAAAATTGTCTAAATAAATGTAAATTATTTTATATATATTTTTAATTTATTTATCTTTACTTATTTTGTATTTATTTAGACCAAAATTTTTTTTATAAGTTATGTATTTTTTTAGTTAATAGTGACTGGTTCATGATGGAACCTACAATAAATTAATTGTATTATTTTAGATTGCTGAAGAAGAGAGCAAAGATTCCTCGAAACGTTCAGTAATAAATAGTGATCAAAAACTTATTTGATCAATAGTTGATTTGACTGAAAGGCAAAAAATAAGTATGAAAAGATAGAATAAAGTTTAAAATTGAAAAATGGAAAATTTAATTCTATAATTTTAATTTAAATATAAGATCGAAGAAACAATTCTTAAAACTCTTACGCTACTATTTCTCCAAAAACATTTCTAGTAAATAAAACAATCCCATGAATTTAATTACATAATGATTTAAACTAAATTTACTCCTATCACGTCTATTGAAGTATGGTTTCAGTATTCTGTTTAAAGTTTTTTTTTTCTATTCCTTCTGTCGAATGTTAGTCCAAGGTACTTTGTCTCTCAGAGGAATTTGATTTTTGCTGGAAAAAACTGATGGAAAAGTGTCTATTCGAAGTATTAATGTTGTATGTCGCGATTAGTCATGATTTAATTTAATTTTCTAAAGTAAATTTCGTTAATTTAATTTTTTGTTAATTATTAATTTTGAGTTAATAGGTATGTCATATGTATAGATAATGCATAGTAAAGAAGGCAGTATTGATTCCTGCGGTACTCCTGTTCTGACTGTTCGAACTAAAGAATTTACTGAGCGTTATTGGATCGAGAAAAGTCAGTTGAACAGTAAAGGTTGAAGAATAGTGTAGTAAGAATGAGATAAAATGATTTTAAGCTTGTAAAGAAGCACAGCGGTGTCAATCTTTACTAGCAAACCAACAAATGTAAGTGTTCAGAAGCCTTTCAGTGCGTCACAATTTTACTAAAAATTACTTTTATATTTTAACTGGTTCCATATTATTCAAAATTTAATTTAAATTAAATAATCACATGTGTTTTTCTCGTCAAAATATTTTAACATAGAATTATCTCGTTTTTGTATATTACTGACTTACAATGATTAGCTTATGAATCCTGCATATAGCATCAAATAGCCGGAAGGGGCTTGGAAAAAAATCTTTGATGATCCCGTTAATTGAATCTGCATCCTAATTAACATAACTAACAACTGTATTTTGTCCTTAATAATATTTTACACTGAAAATAATTATTTTTTGGAATGCATTTTTGTGATTATGAAATATTAGCCATGATAAGAATTTAAAAATTCAGCAATTTTTGTATGTATACTGGTTAGTGGCTAGTGTTAATCAATATAGTTAATAAATAATAATAGTTGCAGGTCTTAAATCATGCTTCTCCGAACAAATTGTGGATTCACTCCTCTCGTAAGAACTGTGACCTCCATTGATGATAGTAGTTTGATAGTTTGATAAATAGTAAATTGTAAACATTAATAGCTTACATGTACGAAAATGCATTCTAAGTAAAAATTGTTTCGTTTACCATTCAAAAACTGCTTGCACTGCTATATTTAAATTGTATCTCTAAGAGGATTAAATCTTATCTCAGTGTTTGACAAAGTTAGTTAAACTGATCGTTTGTTCTCGTCTCATAAGAGCTGGAAAAGAAAAAATCGATACTACCGAATTATAATGGTACTGGTAGTAGTGAACTAGTCCGGCAAGTGGGTCACAAGAACCTTGTTGTCTACCCCTAACAGCTATCTTGAGGTTACTTCCGCGTACTTACCAGAGAGAGGATGTCAAGATTCATTTCCCCGGGCAGCTGAGAACACCTCCAGGTGGGAATCAAACCTTTTTTTTTTCTATTCATAAGATTCTATATCTTTGAGATGTATTTCATTTTTAACTAATCTTGTAACCACCAGATTAACTAGACTGGCCAGTTTGAAAATTAGTTATTCCACTGATTTGCTGAATATGGAATAAAAAACTACATCAGCCGGCAAGGGGCCAAGAAAGGAAGAGAGAAGATGAACAAGAAGACTGGCAAATAGAAGAAAAGAGAAAATGGAAGTATCCCAACCCACCTATATTTAACCTCTGTATAAAATTAAATGTTATAAAATAAAGTAATCAATTTTACATATTCAATTTTTTAGTCCATTAATTTCTTTAATTTTACAGTCCACAGCAATAAATTATCAGTAGCTCTTAAAGCAGAATTATTATGACAGTATTCCTGACAGCCGTGGAAGAGATTGGCATAGTAAATTAAACATTTGGTATATGTACATATATATATATATATATATATATATATATATACATTTTATTAATTTTTTTTCCTCTTATCCATCTACGTCTTAATATAGAGATTACAATACTTTTATTATTTTTGCGATACCATTATAAGTACTAATTTGAACATTTTAAGGAACAGATATAAATCATTTATTATATATAATATTTATCTTTTTTTACATTACTACAATTGTTTGCTTATAAAAGCAATTTATCGTTCTTTTCTAATTTCATTTAGAAAAATAGTCCAAAGGACAGTAAAGGATATTACACAATACCCTATATTTGAAAATGCAAGGAAAAAATTGGACATGGCACAAAGCCTAAAAGAAAATTTACTAGAAAGCGAAAGAAAGTTCAGTTAAAAAAACTTTAAAATTCTTAAAAGCGATAAAATTCTACAACAGAGTGTAATTTGAAGGTGTTGCCAATGATCTACGGGGTAGAGGCATCAAAATAATAAATAAATAATTTCATTTAGTTATTTTTACTTTATTGTTTATATCAGCTATTTAGCGGTATTGCAACCTTTCTTTTGAAGCTCTTTATTTCCATTTGCTTGTATTTCTTTAATATGTTTTAAAGATTGGATTCATGAAACAAAAGGAAAGCTATTTATGAAACAAAAGAATATTGGGAACGCCAACGGAAAATAAAACGAGTCAAATTATCAGAAATAAAAACCGAGTGCAAAACATGGGCCACGAACTCCAGAAAATCAAGAGAAAAAATAATATTATCCATAATACGAATTGAACATTGTTTTTTTGACACACGGACACCTTCTTAGAGGTCGCCCACCTGCCAAAAGTGTGACAACACATCTCAGACAGTTAAACACTTATTACTAGAATGTCCCCAATATGAAAGAAAAAGACAACAATTTAAGTTCTCCACGGAATTGAAGGATATTACGCGAGACTGGGAGGAAGATGTCGCCATTATTATTTTATAATATTTAATCGAAACAAAATATTACAGCAGAATTACTGCCAATGACTCTCTATGGTTGAGGATAATACAAATAAAAAAAAAACTTCTCTTATAACTCATGCTTTAGTTATTATATTATTGTAATAGGTATTTTACCCAGTGGGAAATTTAACTCGACATAATTCCCTCCGCTTTCTTCCTCGGACCGGGAAAAATCCCGTGTAGCCTAAAAGGCAAGGAATGGGGAAAAAAATGTCTTTTGGCTAGATTTAGTGTTAATTTGCATGATCAATATTGTTATTCTTAAGGGACTTGAGTTAAATACAGTTGATTCTTCTATTCTATTCAATATATAGTGTAGATTAATTTATATTATCATTTATCCAAATACTTGAGGTATAGGAAATATAAAACCATCCTGGGCATATTTTAAAAAGGTTTATAAATACATATTTAATAAAGTGACAGCGAGTCATACCAATTAAAAAATGGTGCGTTTATTTAAAAATTCATGGTTACAAAATGATCTCTATGATCCACCTCGATCAGACCTTCCTTCCGAAGTGGCTGCTGACGGTCATCTCCATGAAGAAGCAGCAGTTGAGCTTCTTGTTCTTGCCGTAACATCGGTTCTTGAACCTCCAGAAGCCGTTGAGGAGCGGGAAGGCGGAACTCAGGCCAATCTTAATGCCCTTCATCTCCCAGGCGCCCTAGCGATTCCAACCAGACATTAGTAGTTTGTAACCGCACCAATCCCTTCACTTAGTGTCTACTATTAAATAAATAAAAGTACCTTAGGGAATGGACACGTTATCGGCATCGTCGTGGAGTTGAAGTATCCGTACCAAGGTTCGCTTTTCTGCCTGAGGAGTCTGCACATCGAGTCATACTGAATGGTCGTGTAATATTCGCAGGTGTCGGGTTCCGATTTAGAGGCGCATTTCGACATCTCCATTTTACCCTGCAAGTTACCGTGGAGAATCTAATTACTATCATATTCATAATCATTCCTATTCAATACTAAAACTATATCCCAACAATTATGTAATAATATAGGATTTATATTATTTTTATATTTTTTGTAAAATATATTAAATAATATAAGTAACAGTACACCCCAATGCATTCGACTTATAAGCGATCAAAGAAATATGCTTATTCGAATATACAATATATTATTATTAAGAAAGTCTATTCAACATACAAAATTGGTGAAAGTTCATACTTTACCAGATCTGTTAACGAAACAATTTACTTAATAAGTGATAAATAAATGTCCCATTGCAAAATATCCCTCCAGTTCAATAGTTAACCAATAAGGCACAGATACCTCTGAACTTATATTTATCCATTATTGTACTCTCTCAAAATCTATTTGTTTGGTGTAATTACAGAACACTTACTAAGAACATAGAAGTCTATTGTTGAGAGTATAAAAGGTGTCTTATACAGGATGTCCTATAAGTAGAGGTAAATTTTTATAAAAGTGACAGCAGACGTCGAAAGCTACAAAAACGCTTATATAATTAATGGACCTATTTTCATTCAGAAAAGTATAAAGTAAGAAAGGCCATATATATAGTCAGAAAAGTAATAAATCTAAAATTTGTGTTTTTTAAAGTAAGTAAGTTTTTTGTTAAACTGGAAGCAGAAACTAAAAACATTTTTAATTTAAATAATTAGCAATTATTTCTCAGCAAACTAAACGAAATTTAATTCAAATGAAAGTAAAGTTTGTAATTGAATCGGTGAGTGCAGAAACCAATTCAGTCACAAATTTCAATTTTTTCAGGAGAAAGAAAAAACGTCGTAACTCCTCCAAATTTTCAAATATTTGAACTTATTTTTTTCCTCTGTCATAACATGCATTTATGTAGATGTGCAAAAATTACCTAATTTTGACGTAAATTAGGCTCAGGAAAATTTAAAATTTGATTCGGACTTATGCTGTTTCTGCACTCAACTGTTTTTTACAGACCGCTGAAAATTTTCAAAAATGTAACCATTCATTAAAACTTTATATTTTTTAATTAAAAATTATTTTACAATTTAATTTGATCAATTTAATGGGGCGGCGGATCAAAAAAAAAAAAGGGTTTGATATTTATATTACATACAAACATTACGAGTGATAATTAAGATAACATAATTAACATAACATATAGTAAAACGAAGAATATAATACTATATAAAAATAGAATGATATATATAGTAAATCTATCTTTTTTAATAAATAATTTAATAAATATATGTATTTTTTAATAAATGAGGGTATTCATCAAGAAGGTTGTGTGGAAATATTTCTATTAATTTCTATAAATTTAAGCGTATTCATTTTGATAAATGTCAATACTGCCGTATTCACTTTTACAAGAGTAAATACAGCCATATTCACTTTTACAATCGTGAATACGGCCGAATTTGTATTTACAGCCGTGAATACGTACCATCTCTATTCATATTTCTTTTGATGAATATAAAAGGAATATAATCAGAAGTACCATAAATATAAATGCTATTCTTATTTATATTTTTGAATATAGATATGTACATCTCTGCTGGTCTTAAGTTCTTTGTATGATTTTAACAATTATTATTAAAGCCATTCAAAGAGGACTTTAGAGTGGCTAAACTCAGGTAATATATGTTTAAAAAATCATAAAATATTAGAGTTTTTTCTGTTATCATACTTCAACTAAGCTACTGTTACTCCACTTTTAGAAAAACTTCCTCGTTTAATATGTTTTCAGTCCGTATTAATTATGTTGAGGTTCATTAGGGAAAAACTCGAGCTTCACCTCTAGTTGTGTAAGAAAATAGTGTGACTACTTTATATGCTGTCACCAAAAATTACCCATATTTACAGAAAAAAAGATTGAAATTATCATCTAACTGTAATATAGTTGGAGAATAAAAAAATAAATAAATAAATCGTTAATAATTTATGATTTAAAAAAAATATACATTAGCCACTAAAAAGCCCTCTTTATATGGTTTCAAAAATGACAAACTGTACTTTCATTTGAAGTAAATTTTGTCTGGTTTTGCTAAGAAGTAATTGTTAAAGTAAACTTGAATTTCCTACTTTTTGTCTGAAAATTGGTTCATTGTTTATATAAACTTTTTTGTAGCTCTTGATATCTGCTATGGATATTGAAGTTTGAGTAAAAATCTTTACAACACAATTTATCCCGTCCAGACCCGTCGACTTTTGTAACCATCTGACTTATGAAACCTCCTAATTTTTTCAATGACTTCTATTATAGTGAAGTTTTAAGATTTGAAAATTGGGATTCGTCACTTCTCTATGAAATTCATCGAAATTCATCGCTCTTAAGGCTCCTAATTATTGATTATTCATATGGAAAAATTTAACTTTATTTTTCTGCAAACAGATGCTATTCTGAGGAACATTGTGCCAGAATAAAGTTATTTTTCTATTTTATATAATATTATGAAAGCAGCAGAGTGGAAAAACATGTACCGCACTGTAACGGTCATTGCATTATTTATGCACTAAAAAGATAAGACACCAGGGGAAGCTAGTGAAACCAACACCATATTTAGACTGTTTGGGACCTGGATTTATTTTTTTGGTCTCTCCATATAGTATATATTCAGGGTGTCGCGTAAGTAGAGAGAAATTGTTATAGAAGTAATTGAAAACCTCAAGAGCTACAAAAAAAAGTTCCTATAAAAATAGCCCTATTTCCAGAACAGAAAAAATAGAGAATTATAAAACAGAAAAGTAGAGAATGGATTACAGTAGATGAAGTGTTTTAGTGTTGACGAGACAAAATTTAATTTAAACTATAGTAGAATGTGTGATTGTTAAAAACATTCAAATAGGATTTATGAGAGGCTAAACTTAGTTAAGATATTTTTTTTTAAATCCTAGATTATTCGCGATTTTTTTTAACATCATCCAACTGTACTACAGATTTTAGAAAAACTTCTTTGTTCAATTAACTTTAAGTTCATATTATTTAATTGGATATTTACTAAAAAAAAAAATTGAGATTCACCTCAAGTTGTGTAAAAAAATTATATGATTTTTTATCCAGTCTTCTAAAAGTTCCCGTGTTTTCAGTAAAAATGTCTACAATTAACTGTAACAAAGCTTCTATTTAATTTTCTAGTTATATCTTTTAGGTTCGGTGGCATTTTTTTTTTATATTGAGAATATTGAGGAGGAAAAGTTTTAATATCGTCTACGAAAGTGAAGTGAAAAAACGGCATTCGATGAAATAAAAGAATGACAAACCAACGAATTATATTATAATGATACATTTTAGGAAATTTTAAGAAGCGGTGCATTGGTCTTGAAAATGGCTTCTGAAGCCGAAACGTCTAAATAATACATGATGTAACTGTGTACATTTGGTGAACTTTGGCCTAATATTTTATAAAAAAAAACTTTTATTTAATTTTTTCTACGATTTTAGATGCATTATAATAAATATAATTGCTTAAATACATTTTTTATTTAATATTAAATAAAAATTAAAAATAATGATTTTTCAATTTTTTTTTTCAGGAAAATTGGTTATGACCCTGTGTTTTCTTACCCATCATATCTATTATACTAATCGATCCATATTTATGAATGAAAAACAAAATGTTTCTAGTCTGAATATTAACATTTTGGTGAAAATAATAGAAGCAATTTTAGAAGCAGGTTTACTTATTTTAAATATAAATGTATTGCTTCTTGTATAAGTAATGAAGTTATTTATGAAATTTTTCCCCTGATGATATTTTTACTAACTTGTTCAACGGCTTGAAATGAATAAGGTTATCATGGGAAACAATATCCAACCCATTAAGAAATGAGTAGGCCCCAGTTTGTATGAATAAAAGAAAAGCCGCGAGCGGGAGATAAGGTTCGAAGGGGAACGGGAAGTCCTGATTAAATTAACTGAGAGGCGGGAAGGTAGTGGTTTTGGCGGGAATTCGGTCAATCCGGCGGGAAAGGTCTGTTGACTTGCATGAGCTCAGGCTGCTATAACACGGGGTCCTTGCACATGACGTTCTAGACGATTGGGTCAGTGTTATAAAACCGATGTTACTTTTGCACTAAGTATATATTTATATATTGTATTCTCTTTAAAATAGTAGTGAACATCTTTAATTAATCGATCAGCAAATTTTCTGACTACGTAGGATTCGCTAAATCCCCGTTTAATTCTGAATCCAATGGTACCTCATTCATGGCATTAGAGCATGGCAGCAGCTTATATTTGGTACAATACCGATTTCGAGTCTTACGGTAATAATGTATGTGAGGGTATAGGTAGATATAGATATGGGTAGAATCTCTTTTCCTTACCGTTCATTAAATAATTCATAACTCCTAAGCATTTTCTCCTAATTCAATATTTCTATGATAGATGAAAAGCTGATTTATTGCTCTTCAAGATGATATCAATAACCTTTAGGTTTAACGCTTTCATAAGGATTAAATTAAGAAAATCTCCTCATGCGTTTTTATTTTATATTTCAGTTATAATATATTTAAAGAGGTAGGATTTGTTGCATTTCGTGTAGTTTACATAAACCTTAATCCCAGCTAATTTTCGTTGGATAGGTTAAGTCATGTTTATTTACTTTTTGTGATTTTCGAAATATAATCTAAGGTTACTAGAACATTTGAAGTAATTATTTTTTATTTTTCAATTTGTATTTGAGGGCATTGGGAGTTATTATTAATAAATAAAAATATCGATTTCGATATTTAAATGACATTGATTTTAATAATATGAAAGTTTTATAAATGATTCTTATTGTGAAGAGATAGGAGGGATAGATTTGAAATAACTTTTTATTGTAGTAATAATCAATGAATTTACAATCTCTATTTTATTTAAATCGATCCTAATATATTTTTGATAATGTTCTTAAACTCAGCACTAATTCCATCGAAAGAATTCATAATTCGATCTAATTCAGCATCGA